GTGGCTCTAGGGGAAGGTCCTGTCTCGTCTATTTGGTGGCTCTAGGAGAAGGCCCTTCCTCTTCTGTTTGGTGGCTCTAGGAGAAGGTCCTTCCTCGTCTGTTTGGTGGCTCTAGGAGAAGGTCCTTCCTCGTCTGTTTGCGTGGCTCTAGGAGAAGGTCCTGTCTCGTCTATTTGGTGGCTCTAGGAGAAGGTCCTGTCTCGTCTATTTGGTGGCTCTAGGAGAAGGTCCTGTCTCGTCTATTTGGTGGCTCTAGGAGAAGGTCCTTCCTCGTCTGTTTGCGTGGCTTTAGGGGAAGGTCCTTCCTCGTCTATTTCAGCTTCTAGTAGCTTCTAGCAATCCTTGGTTCCTTGGCAGCTGTCTTCCCTCGTGTGTGTCCTTGCCTGTTGTGCTCTTTCTGTAAGACACCACTCCATATTACTCTTCCATGTAGATCCAGATGGTCACGGTCATAGGTATAGGGGTCAGGACTTGAACATAACTTGTTGGGGGACACGATTCAGTCCATAAAGGGCGGACCCCTGGGCCCGTGGCGTCCTCGGATCAGCTCCAGCACGGAAGGGATGGATGCTCACATCTGGTTCCCTGGTCTGTGCCTGCAGCGTCTTCCTCGACGACTTTCTTGCTTCCGGGAAAGGAGAGCAGGCGCCGCAGCTGGAGTTTGAGCAGCTGCCCTTCAGCCACCCTCTGTTCATCATGTTCTCGTCGGGCACGACCGGTTCTCCCAAGTGCATGGTGCACTCGGCTGGGGTAGGTCTCCGGGGCAGAGCGCAGCAGCCTGTCTGTCTCCCTTCGTGTTCTGTGATGGGCCCTCCCAAGGGCTGACGGCGGTGTCCACATCGTCAAACCACCCCCACGCCTGGGGTTTCAGTGTGCAGCCCCCATAAAGTGGAGGGCCAGAGTGGGGATCTCTAAGTTAGGGCCACAGATAGTTGCTGTGCTGGGGGCTGTGTGGCACCTGCTCCATTTCCACAGAGCCCAGAACTCACAGAGTGTGCACTGGTGCCAGCGGTCAGGGATTTCCACACTGTGGTTGGGACACCTCAGTGGACTCAGTGTATAGGGTTCAACCAGAATGAGGTAGAACGGGCAAGACTAGAAAATATCAGCACATCTCAGGTTTTAAGAGGAATGGGTATTGTTTCAGGAAACCTTCGTTATGTAAGTATATATGTGGGTGTATGCATGTACTGATTGGCATTGTGAAATGTACATCTGACTGGGTTGTTGTCAAAAATTTGAAAGCCTCTGGATTCTGTTATAAAGTGTGAGTGATTGAAGAAGAGCTTGCCATGCCTTCCACTCGCCCACTGATTTCATCAAAAGTCTAACTTTATTAGAATACCTGAAATCATATTCCACTACTAAACATTAGATTTCATATTTATACAGGTAGGTCAGGGACTTTTAAGTTTTAATTTTGGAAAAATTTCAAACCTAGAGAAAGGTGGCAGGAATAACACGAGGCGCCCGGTGATACCCTTGGGCTAGATTTGTCCGTTGTCAGCCTTCTGCCCCTTCGGCTTTGTCTTTCTTTCTGTGTGTATACACACACACTATCATTTTTGGTTTTGCTGAGCCGTTGGAGAGGAAGGTGCAGACATTGTGACCCTTCTCCCCGCAGTGCCTGAGCAGCTGTCCTCCGAGATCAAGCTTGTTCTCTTACTGCACCTTAGCATCATCGTCAGACTCAGGGAAGTTGACACAGAAACGACACCGTCATCTGCGGTACAGTCCGTATTCAGATTTGGCCAGTTCCCCAGTAACGTCCTGTGTGGCACTCAGGCTGCATTGCATGCGGTTGTCATGTGTCTTCAGTGTCCTGTAATCTGGAAAGCTCCTCAGCCCTTCTTTGTCTTCCATGACTTGGACAGTTTTGAAGCACCCAGGCCAGGCACTTTGCAGAAGGGCTCTTGGGTTTGTGTGATGCTTCCTCATGGTGAGATCCGGATGGTGAATCCAGACCTGTGCCTTCCTCAGTGCATCCTGTCAGGAGGCACAACCGTGCCAGTGTCCCTTGTTACTGTGAATTACCCAGGTCATGCTTGTAAAGTGAAACTCCTGGGGGAGCTGACGTTTCTAACCCCTGCTATCACGTCTTACCCCCTCGGATCATGCCTTGCCCCTGGACTTGGTGAGAAGCTTCTTTCTAACTCACGGGAAGTCCTTACTTGGACTGGACCTCTCCTGGACTGGCCTGCAGGAACCATAATCCTTGCGGGGTTTCACACCTGTGGCTCTGGTTCTCAGATTGCTCCGGGCTCTCTCCGTGTCTGATTTCCCAGTTCCCTTTCAGCTGGCCTAGCAGGAGACAGGAAGTTCCCATGGGGAGGAGAAAAATCTAAGTGCCTTGGTCAAACCCTGCAGTCTCCTTTTCTCCGCCCATGCAGAAGAAGAGAGTGATTCAAGTGGAGAAAGCCCAGGTTCTCAGTTTCCCAGCTATTTCTTGATAAGATGACGGGATTTGAAAATGAAGCAGAGAATTTCTCTTATTCTAGCTCATTTAGCTTTTACCCTTGTTCTGTGTACCTAGAAGTAGTTTGAATCCCTTCCATCAAGAGGAAACATTTACATGTGAATCGTTTTGAAGGCTTACACAGCTTTCACAGAGTGTTCTCATCAGAGCATAGAAAGGAGTCTAGACAGCTTTATTATCACCTGGATTTGGATTTAGGGAGGGTTGGCACAGGTTATAAAATATATCCACCTCGTACAACACGTCTGCTCAAACACAGCGGTGTGGGGGCAGAAGAGACAGATCTCTGCAGAAGAACTCCAAATAATTTATGAACATACTCCGCCCAAAGGAAGGTGGAACATAACTCCTCACTCCTTATTGGTGGGCTGCGCGTCGTGGCTCCCTCCCACAGAGCTCGGTCTGGCAAGGGGAGAGAGTAACTTTACAGCAGAGAACCCTGACAGACATCCCTCAGCCAGGTAGTCAAGGTCAACACCAACAGTGCAAAGTCATGTGGACAGTTGGTATCCTTGATATCATGCCATGAGGATGGCAGTCTACCTCGGTGGTCTTCTTCCCAATAACCCGTGACCCCAGTCTAACCGTGAGAAAAACATCAGACAAATCCCAGCAGAGGGGCGTCCTACCAAATGCCTGTCCAGTACTCCCCACAACTGCCCAGCCCATCAAGAACAAGACAGTCTGAGAAATGATCACAGCACAGCCAAGGGGAGCCTAAGGAGACAGGACAGCTGTATGTAGTATGGGACTGCATGGGATCCTGTCCTGGGACAGGAAAAGAACGTTAGGTGAAAACTAAGGAAATCTGAATACAGTGTGGACTTGAAGTGGCAAGAATGGATCAGTGTCAGTCCGTTAATTGTAACACATATACCATACTGATGTCCAGACCCAAACAAAACCAAACCCGTTGCCGTCGAGTGGGTTCCAACTCATAGTGACCCTGTAGGACAGAGTAGAACTACCCCATAGGGTTTCTTCCAAGGAGCTCCTGGTGAACTGCTGACCTTTTGGTTAGCAGCCTAGCTCTTAACCACTGCGCCATCAGGGCTCCATACTAATGTCAGGTGTTCATAAATAATAGGGAAAATGGGGTATGGGGTATATGGGAACACTGTATACTGTCGTCCCAACTTTTCTGTAAATCTAAACCTGTTCTAAAAAATAAAGTTTATTTAAACAAAAGCACGCAGTTGGTGACTTCTGAACAAACTGCAGAGGTAGGGTGGGGGTGGGGGGTCCAAAGGCTTCATTCTTGTCTTGGAAGTAAAACTGGCCAAAATCCAAGTTGCTTTTCTGTAGGAGTGTGATGTCCTTGTTGTCCACGCCATCCCATTTTATTAATCAGGTCAGGGCGTTTACAGTCTAAGGTGCAATTTACTTTGGGTGCTGCAACCCTGTTATCCCTGGTGAGGGGTGGCTCTGGGCTGCCTTGCCAAAGGCCTCTTAACAAACCACAGAGATGAGAATTTTCAGAAACCTTGACAACAAGGAGAGGGGGCTGGCAAAAACAGCAGACATTTTAGGAAACACTGAAATGTATAATTGTACTTTTATTTTAAGTGCGTTTTGCATAGTGAATGTCACTTTCTTTTAGGAATGGAACATAAAAAATGTATTACATGTAACACTGCTCATAAAATCATGGTGCAGGTATACTTAGGGTGTGGAAAATTCAGGAAAGCTTGTATTCTATCTTCAGTGGGCTGTAGCATCCCCTTTCTCAAGAGTGATCTTGACGGCAAGCTTGAAAACACCGAAGTGATGCCAGGCCCCAGAGGTCGAACTGTTTAAAACGTCTGTGGTTTGTTGGGTGGGCTGTGTTCCTGGTGTGTTGATTTGTGGTTTCTAATCCAGGACCAGTCTCAGAAAACAGCCTCTTTTTCTTCTTCTTTTAAATTAACACACACACACACACACACACACACACACACACACACACACACACAGAACACCATGCTGCTTCTGCCTTCTTCCCTCAAGAAAAGCATTCAGACTCAGCCATGAATATTTAAGATTTAAATGAAAAACTATTGACGTGAATTGTCAAGATTGACACGGGGAAATTCTTGAGCGTGAGGTCAAGCTCTTGCAAAGCCCTGTTTGTTTTATACCATCAGAGAACTTGGGAGTATTGAACTGATGGATGAAGGGGGTCTAGACGTGCCAGGCTCAAAGCTGACTGGATGGATGAAGATACAGATTTAAATGAAATACGGATTTTAAATAAAAAAGAAAATGGGAGGGGAATTTACCACAGGTTCACATAACCAGAGAGCTCCATTGCCTTTTAACGGGATTCACTTTGTAAACATTTAGCATTCACCGAAAGACGTCCTAAAGGGTTTATGCCCAGAGTTTTGCACACTCACTCCTAGTGAGAACTGCACGTGTTCTGGGACTTTCCACAGAAGCTGTGACTGTGGGCTGAGGAGAGGCTGTCCCTCCCTCTGCACAACGTGTTCTTGTTAAATTCAACGCTGGGGGCTCAGCTGTAATGGGCTGAATGCAGATAGCCCAGCGGGCATTCTACGAGCCCTGCAGTATGTTGGGGGTTGCTTTGAGCTGCAGGCAGGGCCTGTGATATCCCCCCTCAGAGCTGGGCCCCTGAGCTGAGATTCTGACCTGAGGCCACTGAGCCGGGGGTGGCACCGCAGGCTATCCTCCATTGGGATGGGAGCCTGGCAGGCACGGGCGGGTCTAACCCTTGTTGTAGAGGGGTTCTCTCACCCCATCTCTGGCTTGGCCTCTCAGTAATTTCGTTTCTTATCTTCCTGAGGTGCGTGGCTTCCCCAGGCTGTCCTCAGTCACCCGAGCACTGAAGGCTCAAAGATGGGAGGCAGAGCAGGCAGAGTGTCCCTCTTGAGGCTTCTTGCCCCTCACAAGGCGACTCCCTCCAGCAAGGAGAAAGGAGGCTCACTTCTTCCTGGCAGGCAGTGTGACGGAGGGTGTCTCTGCCTTTGTACAAGGGACCCTTAGGCAGCAGCAGCCCCGTCTCACACTGTTTCCCTGCCCCTGCAGGGCACCCTCATCCAGCACCTGAAAGAACACATTCTGCACGGCAACATGGGCAGCAACGACATCATCCTGTACTACACCACGGTAAGGGCCGGGGGCCGGGGGCCGCGAGCCTCCATAGGGCCCTGTCGGCACTCCTGCTACTACACGGCCAGTTCAGTGCCGAAGTCTTTGTGTTTGTTTAGCTCCAGAACCACCCACAAGTTCTCCCTTTGGAGACGTGACGTGTCACTGTTGGTGGGTATGTGCCTACCTTTTTGGATTTAAAAAAAAGAAAGCTCTACTTGCCTATGGTAAACATCTCAGGCAGCACAAATAGGATGTGGGGTGAGAGGCTGGTGTCTTCCCGGGTCCGGAAGTGACCTCGTTAGTCCTGTTTCGGACGCGCGGCCTGCAGTACGCACTGATGCCTTTGCAGGTCTTTTTTTTTCGGGGGGAGGGTTGTGGTTTCACATACCTACCCTTTTTCCACGATAGGGTTACAGCACACACACTCTGCTGTGCTTGTTTTGCGACTTAACAGTGTCTTAGAGATTGTTCTGCATCAGCCCATACCTCATTCTTCTTCATGGCTGCCCAGTGTCTAACCTGGAAGTGCTTGCTGGGTGGCAGATTCTGTTCTAAGTGTTTTATGTGGGTTAGCTCATTAAGTGCATAGTGCTCCGTAGTGTGTTTACACGTGTTTGGCCTAATCCTTCCCGTGTCGATGGCGTCTAAGTTGTTTTCAGTCTTTTGCCGTCACTAGCAGTGCGGCCGTAAAAGCTCTTACCACATCTTTACACACATGTGCAGACATTTCTGCAGGATCAATTCCTGGATGTGGCATTGCTACTTCCCAGCATTGTGCATTTGAAGTGGACGCTTGTTGCCAAATTTGAGCTCAGTTTTAGGTGGTCTTCTAGGGAAATGCTAGGCTGAGTGACAGATTGGGGGAGGGGGTAGCCCTGTACTTGATTTACCCCGAGATCCTTTTGCTTGTTCCAGATCGGCTGGATGATGTGGAACTGGATGGTGTCTGCCCTCGCCACAGGCGCATCTGTGGTCTTGTATGACGGCTCCCCGTTGGTCCCGACGCCCAACGTGCTCTGGGACCTGGTGGACAGGATAGGGTAGGTACCATCAGAATGAGGGCGTCGTCATCCAAAGGTTCTTTATGATCAGACACAAAAAGCCACAGCTGCCTCCAGCCAGTGTGTGGAATCACGGTGCTGTCCTTGGGACTCTTTGCCATTCTGGACATCCTGTCTCAGGGTGGGGATGTGTGTGGCAGGGGCCACAGGAAGACACTGAGATTGTCACAGGGCGATGGGGGCGGAGCGGGCACTGGTACAGACTGACCGAGAGATGAGGACCCTTCCGCGTAGAGTGATGAGGCAGCCCTGCAGGGCGAACTCTGGAGATCATTAAGGTGTCAGAGAGGGAATATGAAGTTATTTCTGGAACGTAAGAACCGCCAGAGAAGTCTAAAAGGAGGAAATTTAAAAAAAAAATTTGTGCTTAATTCTTTATGAACTCATCTCTAAGTTTCTTCTCTAACCTTTCGAGTTGCTGTTGTCAGTGTGATCCCATATAGATAATTCTGTAAAAGAGCACAGTGCTCAAGGCAGAGATTCATTGCTAGTTAAACTAAACTATTGCTTGGTTTACAGAAGACTTCAGGGGATATTTTTGGTTTAAGATTTAAAGATTATCTCAGGGCAGTAATTTCAGGGGTTCATCCAGCCTCTGTGGCTCTAGAAAGTCTGGATTCCATTATAATTTGAAATTCTGTTCTGCATTTTTACCCCTTTTGATCAGGATTCTTCCATAGAATCTTCTTTTTATTCTTAACAGTTTCTACATGTACCATTCAGTGGCATTGATTACATTCTTTGAGTTGTACAACTACTCTCTTCCTCCTTTTCTGAGTTGTTTCTCCCCCATTAACATAGATTCCCTGGCCCCTAAGGTTCCTATGTAATCTTTCGAGTTGCTGTTGTCACATTAGTCCCATGTAGATAGTTCTTAAAAGCACATAATGCTCAATGCAGACATTTTTTACAAGTTAATAAGCTTAACTATTGTTTGGTTTTAAGAAGACTTCAGAGGATATTTTTGGTTTAAGGTTTAAAGATTATCTCAGAGCAGTAGTTTCAGGGGTTCATCCAACCTTCATGGCTCCAAAATGTCTGGCGTCCATGACAATTTGAAATTCTGTTCTGCATTTTCCCCCTTTTGATCAAATATTTTTCTATAGAACCTTTAATCAAAATGTTCAGTAATGGTAGCCAGGCACCATCCAGTTCTTCTGGTTTCATTGCAAAGGAGGCAGTTGTTTATCTTCTATAGAATCTTTAATCAAAACATTCAGTAATGGTAGCTGGGCACCATCCGGTTCTTCTGGTCTCATGGCAGAGGAGACAGTTATTCATAGAGGCGAGTAGCCACACTTTCCATTTCCAAAAGGAGGAAAATTGAGGACCATAAAAGCACTGTTTTACACAGGGATGGTGAACTCAAGAGTGAATTACAGCCTGAGCATACAAATGTCCTCAGGAAGCAGCGAGGGTCAGTTCATAAGGGGCCGGTGCAGAGTCCCCCGACAGCGCACATCAGAAGTGCTTGGACTTCCCACCCCCTTTCTCCGGAGCCTGGCCCCGCTGCCTTCAGCTGCCCCTGGTGACGACTAGACTCGCACTCATCAGGAATGTACTTCTGGAATGTGTTCCACGGCTTCCAAAGCAGTCACTGCTTCCCCGCAGCCTGCTGATCGTTCTTTCCTTTGCTGAACGGCAAGTGGGAACCCCAACTGCAGAGGCAGAAGTCATTGAAAATGCAAGTATCCTGCACCAGGAGGAGGATCACGTGCCCCCTCCCCCCATTGTCAGAAAACGTCAGAAGACCCATCTTCATTAGGGCCTTTTTTGCTGATGAATTAATCATAGGGCCTTGGGGTTGGATCACCGTGGTCGGTGCGTCCTGGCCCCTGCGGTTCTCGGGTACCCTCGGCTTAATGATGGGCTTTCGTGACTAAGAATGTAGATGCCGGCAGAGATCCAGGAGGCTGAAGTTGACAGGCTCTGAAATGTCCTAATTACTTCACATCTGAATCCGCCCGTGGTGGGGAAACAGGAGGAGCCGTGAATGTTTTTAAATCCACGGCCATTAACATTTTAAATATAAGTTTGCCTGGCCGGTGTCGTATTTAAATCCTGACATTTGGCTCACGGTATTTGATATTGGAAGGGAAGGTTATTTCCTAATGAGATTGTTTCCAGGGAAAGGTTAATAAAATCCCTAGGAACTGAAATACCTTTGAGATCTTTACCCTTAATTCCATTAAGCCAGGCTTCAGGTGAAGAAACGTGCTTTCTTTTAGTGGGGGATCAGAGAAGAGGGGTGGAGAGAAAAACGTACATCCTTAGGATTTAGGGTTAATAAAGTTGAGGGATGAAGGGCCCCGGGGAAACCCAGCTGTGTGTATATATGTGAGTGTGTGAGAATATGTGTGAGTGTATGAACGTGAGTGTGTCAATATTTGTCTGTGTATGTCAGGGTAGATTAGTGAGTGTGGTTTGTATGTGACAGTATGTGAGAACGTGCATGTATGAGTGTGTGTATGCGTGCATGGTAATATGTGTGTTTGTGCTGAGTGTGTGTGAGTACATGTGATGTGTGTGTGTTCACAGCTGTGGTCAGGCTCCACGTAGGAAGCATGTATGAGCACCTGCTGTCTGTCGGGCTCTGGGCTGTCCCCTGCCAGAGGACCTGACATGGTCTGTGACACCCACGGTGAGGTCTGGGCTGGGGGGTGGGACTTCACAGCACCGGCAGGTGCTGAGGGCGAGAGTCCTTAGATTGCAAGGTTCAAGTCCTCGCCGTGGCTGCCAAGGAGAACTGAAGGAGTCCGTGGGTGCAGGCTCCCCTTGCTTGGCCCACTTGTGGGGTTAACTGAAAGGACATTAAATGCCGTCTCTACAGTCCTCCTGTTTGTGGCAAGAGGAGTGGTCCTGCAGAGTCCTCGCGTGCCACTCCTGGGCCTGATTTTTAAAGTAATGCTGGTCAATCTAGGAATGAAATCTTTATAGGATCAGCTCACAGATCTGTTAATGCAATGGACAGCTGACCCTTTGATTGTTTTAAAAGACTCTTTTTCTTCTACCTTGGGGGTGGGTCATGGGCTCCAGGGGCCTGGCCACGGGGATACTCTGGGAGCGAGGGCTGGGGCCACAACTCTGGGGCCTTTTCTCCAGGTTTAGCGTGTAGCTAGGCTACAGGAGTCGTCTCCTGCTGCAAGTGGACATGGTGTGGTTGGCTGGTTCTAGGTAGCAGGCTTCTGCTGGGTGAGCACTCACCTTTCAAAGAAAGAGAATTGGTTGAAGAAAAGCCAAGGAGGGAAATGACATAGTTAAATAATGCTCTCGCCTTGAAAACGACGACTTGTATCTAACATAGCGTTCTCTGAGTGCAGATGAAGGGGTAAGCGACTTAATTCAAAATGTTTGATGAGAACGACAGTTTTCTAAGTTTCATTAAACGTCTGCTTACTTAAGAAAAGGGGCTAGGCCGAGAAGTTGACGTTGAGCACCTGTTTATCTGTTTTTTTTTTTTTTTTTAAAGAACCACCATTTTACTCTGCTCGTAGATTTTGTGGGTCGGGAGTTTGGGTGGGGCTTGGCTGGGCAGTTCTTTTGTTCCTGGTGGTTTTGACTGAGGTCACTCAGTGGTACTCAGCTGGGTGGAAGTCTGGTCTGCAAGATCCAAGACAGTTCCTCTTGCATGTCTGGAGCCTGGAGTGGGATGACTTAAAGGTTAGTACTGCCAACCAGGGCATCTGCACATGGCCTTTCCATGTGGCTTGGCTTCCTCACAGCACGGCAGCTTCAGGGTGATTAGACGTTTTACCTGGTGGCTCAGAGCCCCAAGCAGGAATGTTCCATTGCACAAGGAGGAAACTACATGGCCTTTCCTGATCTACTCTCAGAAGTCTCACAGCATCACTGCAGCCAAACTCTATTGGCCTCTGAGGCAGGCGAGTGGGGGTGGTGGTGGGCAGGAATGCTCTAGGAGTCCTCACTAGCCATAGGCTGAGAGGAGACATGGCCTCCAGGTGCCACAGGCAAGGGTTGTTCTCCTTGATCTGGGCTCAGCTCAGGAGCACGAGCACCTGTTTTAATAAAGAATCTACTTCACTGGAAGGTGTGCGCGTGAGGTTAGAATGTGAGGGGTCTTACATTTTATAGCCTCCTTCAGACCCTGAGATAGAATATTCTGTAGGTGGGAAGGCAGATGATTGTTTGAGTAGGACCAGATGTTCCAGAGAGCCAGGCCGTCTGCAGTGGGAATGAATGGAAGCCCTGCCCCCGTCAGAGTCACTGCGGCACTGTGACTCGCTAGCAAGTCGATATGAAGTAGTAGTAATTCAACCCAGAAAACGAGGTGTCTTGGTTTTCGCAAACTTGTCAGAAATGAATCACTAACGTAAGAACGCTTTGGCGGGTGTCACCTGCAAGAGCCCTGAAAAGTGTCTGGTTCTTTCCTTCCTGCCTGCGCCTTTGTGGCCCTTAGCATCACCATCCTCGGAACTAGTGCCAAGTGGCTGTCCGTGCTCGAAGACAGAAACATGAAACCAGGTGACTATGCCTCTTGAAGTGCTTGTTGCTTGAACTGCAAGCCCAGGGGAAGTGGCCCAGTGTGCTGTGCGTTTCCTGCATGCAGGTGGGCCTTAGGGCGCCGGGGTGAGTTTTAATCTTCGGTGGTTCTGCCTTCCAGTGGAAACCCACAGTCTCCAGACGCTTCACACGATCCTGTCTACCGGCTCCCCCCTGAAAGCGCAGAGCTACGAGTACGTCTACAGGTCCATCAAGAGCAGCGTGCTCCTTGGCTCCATCTCAGGTACGCCCCAGCTCCGAGTGTGTGAGTCTGTGCTCAGGGGACACGTTGCTGTGTGGTCGTGTCTGCTCCCCACCTACAGAGGGTATCTGAGTGGGGACCATTGCTGGCAGCAGTGGCTTAGGTTCAGGGTTAATGCTGCCCCCTGCTTGGTGGCCTTGGAGCCTGACTGCATTTCGAGCTCCTTCCTGAAATACAAGTGTTTCCCCCTGGCACGTTCTCTCCTGTGAGACGTCATGGGCCGTGGTCCTCCCAGCTGGGCGGGTTCCTGGTTTTCCGGCAGTGGTGTGAACGTCAGCACCGTGAAGGAGCCTGCCGCGGGACGCGCCTGCCAGGGTGGTGCCTTGCGCCTCGTGTCATGACATTCGTTTCCCACGATCCCACGTCTTGCGTTTCAGTGTGGCCCTGAGAGCTGTTTGGTTTCTCTTCCAGCTGGGAGACTCGTTCGAAAAGTAAATCACCCAGGCCTGAGGGTTCTCTCCAGTGTTTAAATCCCGTCCTCATTCTCCCTGAAAAGAAGCTCTGGCTGTCCGGGGACTTTTCCCTTGATCTGGGGGAAGGGTAGCAGGCCTTTGTCCTTTGGGGCCTTTCTCCTATGTTCACTAATAAAAAATGCAGAGTTTTGCTCAGCTTTCTGAATTTTGAGTTTCCTTCTGCTGCTGTTTGCAGGTGGCACTGACATCATCTCCTGCTTCGTGGGCCAGAATGTCTCGATCCCTGTGTACAAAGGGGAGATCCAAGCCCGGAACCTGGGCATGGCAGTGGAGGCCTGGGATGAGGAAGGTGACGGCCTCAGCTCCGTTTTGTTTCTCTGACTCAGTGGGGTGACTTGGAAGCGCTTGGATGTGTAACCTTGCTTAGTCACAGTTCTCCACAACTGTGCCCTGTTGGAGAGGGTCACCCCCGCAACTTGCAGAGCAGTGCCCTGGGCTGCCTGCCTCCCCCCACCCCGGTCTGCTCCTCTGAGAAGTGGGGGTTGGGCTGGAGCTCACAGGAGATCTGTGTGCTCAGAAGGGGCAGGTGTGCAGTGCCCCTGCGGTAGCTGCACTGCCCGCCAGCCCCATGCCCCGGCCTCGGCGAGGGCCCCGTGGGGGAGCTGGGTTGACTCTCTGCTGGTCTTGGCAGCCTGCAGTGGTCCTTCACTATAAATCAGCCGAGCCTCTTTGTGTCTCCGGCCCAAACAAGGCCTGGCTTCGTGTGTCATTGTATTTAAGTTCATGGACTTGAGTGGCCTGACCTGCAGTCGCCATTATTCCAGGCTTGGTGACTGGTGGGTGCTTAGCTTCTTTTCTGTTGCTTCCACACCAGGAAAGGCAGTCTGGGGTGAGAGCGGAGAGCTGGTGTGCACCAAGCCCATCCCCTGCCAGCCCACGCACTTCTGGAATGACGAGAACGGGAGCAAGTACAGGAAAGCCTATTTCTCCAAATTCCCAGGTAGGTTGGGTAGATGCGGCTGGAGCTGCCGGGACCCCACCTTGGCTGGGCTTTTTCTCTGATTCTCTATGTCTCCCCATCCTCCCCACCCTCCCTGCCCCAGCCTGGCCTCTGCCCCAGCCTGGTGGAGCTGCGCAGATCTCATTTTGCCCGTGGAAGCTGATGATGAATTATGATCACTGTCTTGTTTGAAGCTTGATGCCATCATCTGAAACCGTAACTTGGGTTTAGTTTATTTTCGTCCCCCCACTGTGCCTAGAGTCCCCTGGCCCCGAGCCCTGCTGCTGGGAGCTGGCCTGACCCCGGTGTGTCCGTGTGGGGGCAGAGGCCTGTTTCTGCCTGCTCAGAGAGGCATGGTGGCCGGAGGAAGTGTCCGGCTGGGGTTTTTTTCTTTCCGTCTCGCACCCCATTACCCGGTCATTATGGCGGTCCTGGTGGAAGAGCACTTTGCCGTGGAGTGATTTACAGCGGGGCAGGCCACTCTCTCTGACTGACACTATGCTCTTCCTCCGAGCAGGACTTGCCCCAGCGCAGGCAAGTCTTTATTTAAAGCCCGGGTTCTTGCCTTCTCTTATTTCATCAGCAACCTCAAGTTATTGCTGCTCTGTAATTCATAATTTAGCAAGCCTTCTGTTCTGAGTTATTTATACTAAGTGCTTGCTTCCTGCAGTCTCTAGAAAGGTGATTTGATGTTACATCAACCACACACGGAGGAGCGGGGTGTCAAGAGTGCCTGTGGTTGGGCAGGGCTTGCCACGGTCACCCTGCTCTTCTCCCGCCTTGCACGCCTGCATCACACGCACACACCACCTCCCCGGCTCTGTGCCTTCCCTGCAGGAGTGGCCGGAGGACCCCGGGTGAGGCTTGGCCTCCCCTGGATACCTGCTGCTCTGGGCCCTGGCAGTGTGTAGCTGTCGGGACAGACCCAGGCAGGATGGCGAGAGAGACACAGAGCAGTGTCCCCAGGAGGCTGGAGCATTAGAAGCTCAGCGGGAGGACCCTTCTAAGAAATGACATCTCTCTATCTTCTGCGACGCTGCTCTTGGAACACTGTCTCCTATACGAGGGTTCATGTGATAAATGTCTCCCCGTCTGGCTGCACGCTGCCGGCCACGACACGGGTCTCCCCTGGGTGTAGCCGGCTCAGGGTGGCTTCGTGTCAGCATCAGCTGCTTCTCTTCTCTGCCCTCCAAGTATCTGGACTTAGCCTGTGAGTTAGCTCTCTGCCCTGCGCTGTTTCTCAGCTCAGGCTGCATTACTGGGACTGTTGCAGTAGCCTCCTGCCTGCTCCAGTCTCCCCTTGCCAGCACCTGGCTCAGCCCCTCCTCTGAGACCCGTCTCCCGCTTTCCTGCCCTCCACTCACAGCCTCCCCTGCCCTCCCGCAGTCGCCCCCGCTTCACGCCCTCCAGAGGCTGGCCTCACCCCCCTGGTCCCTGTGGCGCCTGCAGTGGCGTCTCTCACGTGCTGCTGTACATCAGAACTGGGTGTGCAACCCACAGATGGCGTGCCCCTGGGGGTGGGGGCCGTCTCATTTCCAGCCCCCCTCCCCTAGCCCTCAGGCCCATGTCATACACGTTGCTGTCATGCCTGCCATGCCCGTCCATCTGTCCCGGCAGCCGGCAGGAACATCCCCACGGTGGCTCTGCCTCTCTGCCCCCTGCAGGTGTCTGGGCGCACGGTGATTACTGCAGAATCAATCCCAAGACTGGGGGCATCGTCATGCTGGGCCGGAGGTGAGAGGCTGCGCTGCCGTGGGTGGCGGGGTGTGTGCGCTTTTGGTGTGAGCGTGACCTTGCCCAAGCGCCTGCCCTGCTCAGGGTTGGGTCCCCACCACCCCAGTGAAGCTGGCCTCTGCCTGGGGTCTGGACCCTTCCTTCCTCCCTCTTGTCCCATCCTCTGAGCTGGCTGACCCCGACCCTGCGTGACCCCGATCTTCCCACCCTGGACCTCTGCAGGAGCCTGTCTCTGACGGAGAGCCTCTGAGGCAGTTTGCTCAGTCTGTGGCATGGGCTGATGGACCCCTCAGGCCCTTCCTGTCACCCCTGGAGTGGGGCATCCCTGTGTGCACCTTCCTGGGGGTGGGTCTCGCCCGATCCACGTTCCCGAGCCTGCTGCGGGGGCAGGGAAGGGGCGCTGAGCAAAGGTCCGGCCAGTGCCCATGGGCAGCCTTGCACACAGGACTGGGGGCTGGCGGTGGGCAGATGTGTATGGCCCAGCACATGGCCGCATACTGGGAGTAAGGGACATGGGTCAGGTGGAAGGGACATTGAGGGGGCTGGCCTTCCCACAGGGGGACCTCCTGATGTCTACCTTTAAGTTTGGAGAGAGGAGGAGGGGGTAATAGGGAGGGGAGGAGTTGAGGGAAGGGGCAGTTACCAGCCAGGCGTGGAAGGGGGTGAGCGACCCCCGGGGCCCCACTGCTGGGTGATCACGACCTCGTCTCTTCCAGTGATGGCACGCTCAACCCCAATGGAGTGCGGTTTGGCAGCTCGGAAATCTACAACATTGGTACGTAAGTCTCTTCTCTTTCTCCAGAGTTAGCCTTGGGTCATCCAGGAAGGAGGGATGTCCCAGAGGCCTGATTTCCCAAGAGCCCCCTTTTGGGATAACCCGGGCTCATCTGTTTTTGAGGGGGAGAGTGGACGTGAATGCACATCTGCTTTCCAGAACACGCCTTGTACACCTTTGCCCCAGTTCACAAAACCTCAGGGCGGGACTGGGCTCTCAGAGTCACTTGGTATGAGCCCTTGCTCAGAGTGAGCTCGGTCGATTGGTTCATGAGGTCCACCTTCCGTAGGTGAAGAAACAAGCATAGAGAGGTTGTGTGATAGGAAAGGCCACGTAGCCACACACACAATGCAGACCCCCAGGTCCCAATCACTACTGCACGTGAGGGCCTTCACCTTGCCCTGCCAGGCCCAGCTCAGACCAGGAGGCCAGCTTCCCTGGAGGTGGGCACACCTTCAAGAGGCTAAGTGGTTCTGGTGTCGGCCAAACTTGAGACGCCTTGATCCAGCCTCTGTTCCTTCCACTGGGGGAGGCCCTGCTGTAGGGACCTGCTTCTTTTTTTATTTTTAATTAATTTGAAACTAAGTAAGTAACGTACACATGGAGCCTCCTTATAAAACACGAAAATGCCCCAGATAAAGGTGATTGATGCATTTCCTCCATTTGTTAAGCAGCTCCTTTGGAGCAGATCTCTCTTCCTGGGTGGGCCGGGTGGAGAAGGGACGTCTACTGCACGGGCTGGGTGGCCAGCATTGTCCCCCGCTCAGCCGGTCGCAGTAGTACCCCCTGTGACCACACCCCTTCATCTGTCCCTGCAGTGGAGGCCTTTGAGGAGGTAATGGACAGCCTGTGCGTCCCCCAGTACAACCAGGACGGGGAGGAGCGAGTGATCCTCTTCCTGAAGATGGCTTCCGGCCACACCTTCAGGGCTGACTTGGTGCAGAGGATCCGCAATGCCATCCGCCTCGGCCTGTCTGCCCGGCATGTCCCTAGCCTCATCCTGGAGACCAAGGGGATCCCGGTATGGCAACTGATGATGGGCAGTGTCTCCTGCCACTTGACAGTGAGACTGTTGTCACCTTCCCACGGCCCATGCGCCTTAGGAGACCTCGGCACGGGAGGCTTGCTCATGATTTATATATAGTGGTCCAGGTTGCCTAGCGACCGCATCCTTCTCTTTCTGCCCTTCCTCCAACCGTGTTTAAAGCAACTTGCTAAATACCCCTTCTCAGAGGCTGAGCAGGCCCAGCCCTGTGGCCCCAGCTGACTCTCCCAAATGCGGTTCTGGTATGTTCTCAAATACCAAAAATGAGAACATTCATTTTAACTTTTTAAAGAGCTGCCGAGATGCTGTCGCTCTTGCCTTTTAATTTGAAGTTCTGTCTGTGGGAACAAGATGTGAATCTATTTAGAGGCACATCTTTAGAGAGCTGTTCCCCCTCTTATACTTTGTTTAGCTTCTAAGTGTGGAGGGCGGGGGCCTTCGCCCAGATTGGAGCCCAGCTTAACTCACATCGCTCACCAAGTGGGTGCTCCTGTGAGCCGAGAGAGTAAACTGTGTGCGTGTATGTGTGTGCGTGTGTATATACACAGAATGCTAAACACACAGCAGCTTGTACTTTAAGCCTACACAGTATCTGCTCACTCAGGAGAACACTGGAGAAAATACTAACTGGCTTAGCAGGGAAGCTTACTGTTGGCATTGCCCAGTGCGGAGACAGGTTTTAGTCCAGGACACGCAGTCCTGAGACACACTGATACAGGTGATGCCATTAACTTTGAAACTGTGGAGCACATTTAGATCGTTCTCTCTTGCCTTAAAAATTCATTCAACATCTTCAAAATTGTTTATTCAGGAATGGTGGGTACTGCTTATGGTGCGCCTACGGTGTGCAGGCGCCTGATCATCCCTGGAGGGTTGGTTTTTCACCCAGCCTCTCTTTCATCTACTTCTTCCCACCACTTGGGACGCCTGCTGCTTTTCTCCCAGCCCATGTTGGTTTCTCCCTTTTTTGTAGTGTCTGCACATTTTTTTTCCCTTGTGGCTGCGCATGGGAAGAGCCTCACGGCCCAGGAGTTCCCACCTCTCTGTCTGCCTTGTTTTGGTGGGTGGCTCTCCATGGAGACGTTGGCTCTCTCGGATCAGCGACCCTCACTGTCCTCTCCTCTCCTCAGGACACTTCCATCCTGTCTGCGTCTGCAGCATTTTAGGGAACTAGCGTTAGACTTTGCTCCCTTTGCTAAAAGAACCTGTGCTCTTTGCTGCCAAAAATGGTTCTTCCCAGACTGTGTCTGATCATGAGAACAGGGTGGTGTTTATTACAAAGAGGAAGATACTCTCGTTTCTTTCTGTTCCCATCACACTCTCGTTGGCTCACTGCTAGGGAACCGGCCCGGTGCCATGCTCTTTTCTCCCCAGTGTCCTCCCCTGCATCTGCTTGGTCTGTGAAGTCACTCTGAGGGTTACTTGGGGTTTCTCACGTGCCCTTGTGTTTCAGACCCCCATGGCCCGACCACTGGGGCGCCAAGGAGAGCCATCACCCCAAAGCTCACTGGGCCCAGCAGGGTCTGGCCCCACCCAGCCCAGCATGGCCCTGACAAGCCCACCTCATTGGAAACCGGACCCACCTTAGGATCACAGAAGGGAAAAGTGACAGTGACCCTTGCTGAATGCAGGGGTGCCCTCTGCATATGGGATGCCCTTCCCTTGGTGTTTGTGTGGAGTGGGCCAGCCCACTGCCCACCCTTAGAGGGTCCAAGCCAAGATGCCCTTGTGAGCCTTATCTGTGTGACAGGCTCTGGTGGACGTAGGGAGGCGGCCCATGTCTGGGTGAGGGACATCCCCCTCTCACCTGGGGAGACAGCTGATACCTGCAGGACTTGGGGAAGAGTCCTTGAGGCCCTAGAGAGTGTGCACGGGGAACGTGGGACCACATCCAGCCCCGCCCCTTGGGCTTGAGCTGGATTCCTCCATATCTGGGAAGCAAGACGAGGCGTCCACCACCTGCCAGCGGCCCAGGAGACAGTGAGGCTCAGATGGGGAGAGAAGGCTGTGGAGAACTTGAAGGCTCAGGGCTGAGAAGTGGCTGGCCTTCCCATAGTGGTCCCTGAGGATCTTCACGCACAGGACTCTCTCCCTGTGTCCTGGTTCCCCTCTTGCTTGGGGGGGGGGGTCTCAGGCAGCTGACGGAGCATCTCTGAGCCCCATTTCCTCATCTTGGAGATGGGGCTGGTAGCAGCACTTGTGTGGGGAGTTCTGGTTACATGGTGCTGGGAGAACGCCCTAATGCTTTTATCCCTTTGTTGCCCCTGAAAATCAGCTTGTATTCTGAGTAGGCTTGTACAACGCACAAAGCCCTTTGCCCTCTGCTCAGACATCACCTCCTCAGAGAGGCCTTCCCCGAACTTCCCATTTAAAACAGGATCCTGCTGCATGTTCCTTTAGTCCTTGACTGCTTTGTTTTCTCGGTAGCATTCATCACTGAGTGACGCTGAGCCTCTGCTTCTTGTCTGTATCTGCCTGTCTAGAGGGTTAGCTCCTGGAGGGCAGGAACCTCGTGTGGGCAGCCCTGTCCCCCAGAGCTCAGCCTGCTGCCTGGCAAACAGCAGGCGCTCACACGTGTCTGGTGGGCGAACTGTGAGTGAATGAGTGAGTGGAGTGGGTCCTCCTGACACCTGGTGAGGTGGGACAGACCTGTCTTTCTCATGCCCGTCTTACAGATGAGGAAACCTGAGAGGTGAGGGCTTCTGCCCAGGGAAGGGAGAACTGGTAGCTGGAATGGGTTCTGCCTTCGTTAACCCTGAATAAAGCCTTGTGGACTCTGGGTTGATCACAGCCGAGAACGGGCTCTGGGCCCTGGAGGGACCCCAGCTGACTAGCAGATCCTGGTCCCCGGTCAGACCGAGTTAGGAAGTCCTGCCCCACTCCTGCCTAGCCCGCATCTTGGCAGGGGAAGCGGGGCAGGCACAGCAGCGGAGGACATGGCTGGCCCTTCCCTCCCACCAGGGGAAACGGTCGCGGGGTTCCTTTTAAAATGATGTCTTGTTTATTTTGTCAGCTAACAGAAGATAGAAGTTATTAGCTCCCACGGGCCACACTTGAAGCTTTTGTGTAAAGTTCAGAAGCTTGTACAGCACACGACACGTTTGCATTTCAAGGCAAGAGAGGCTGATGGCGCCAAGGGAAGTGACAGGCGGCCCCTCGGAAGCCTCCACTTAGATCCTTAATTAGCACACACCTTGCCTGAAGTTTTCAAATGAATGAATTTTAATTACATCTCAGGTTAAAGGAAAAAAAAAAAAAGGCCAGTGCAAGGAGATCAGGGCGCTGGCGGCTGTATTCTGCTCTGTTGTAGAAGTTTCCTAGCCCATAAACACGCCAACACCACCGAGAGCCCATCTGGATTAAAGATGAAACACATGTACCGTGCATTTTAGAGGAGGCTTGGAAAGTCTGCAAAGAGTTGGGCTACGAGAAGAATGAAGGCACCACCCCACTCAGATGAGTGGTCCCAAGAGTCTCGTGAGGATCGGAAGGCACTGGGGGAGGCTGGCTTTCCTGGTGCAGAACCGTGGAGTCCTCTTTGACACAGTCACAGGACGCCACCTCCTCCTGAGATAACAGCAACAGCTGGTCTTTATTGGCAGGCACTTGAGAAAGCTTTGTGTTAACTTCCCTACCCACAGCCCTCCGGACAGGTGCTACCACCCCCTGTACACTGAAGGAAACAAACTCAGGTCGAGTAACTTGCCCAAAGTCACCCAGAGGTGGTGGCAGGAGTCACACTCGCTCACTCCACGGAACCGCCTTCCGTAGGATGCCTGTGGGACTTAGGGGCAGAGCTGTGGGGTTTCACCCAGGGCAGACGGCCTGGACGCTGAGAAGGAGAACCTTCATTGTCTTCAGTCCATGGGTGGGCTTCTGGTGTGGCCTTGTGAGGGTGGCACGTGAGTGACTCCTCAGGTGGATTCCCTGGCTGGTGGAGTGTGCTGCCTTAGGAACATTTCATCCGCCCACAGTAGCCTCACAGCTTCCTTGAAACGGCAGGCTTTGTAGACAGCCATGCTAGGGGCAGTGTAGGAGGGTGAGGGAGAGGGTGGAGTCGGCTTTAAGTGCTGGACCTTGAAATTGGTTTTCAGCAGCGCTGATTTCCTCCCAAATGGAGGGAGACAGGTGTCTGTCCAAGGCACTTCGGCACATGTTTTCAAACCAACCGTGGTGCTGGCCGCATCGTCTCCGAGCAGAGAATCATTGGCTTTCAGCCCTCCAGTGGGGGGTTGGTCCTGCCTGGGTCTGGATCTGCCTGATGTCAGGACTGGGGGATGTTTTCCTCCTTGTGTTTAGGTGCTTTGATTTTTTACTCTTCCCTTGCAGTACACCCTCAATGGCAAGAAAGTGGAAGTGGCTGTGAAGCAGGTCATTGCTGGGAAGTCGGTGGAGCACCGTGGGGCTTTCTCCAACCCCGAGACCCTGGATCTGTACCAGAGCATTCCTGAGCTCCAGGACTTCTGAGCGGACTGGCCCAAAGCTGCATGCATCTGTAACTTTTGTACGTCCAAGACATTACTTAGACACCTCTGGCTCTGTTAAAGGAAGTTTACACCAAGGGCCAGGGAAGAATCGCTTATTTCCTAGTTACATCTGACTGGTGCTGAGTGTCCACTCGCTGGATGGCGTCCTGACCTTCAGAGGTGCAGAGGGCGTGTAGGCTGTTTGGGTAGCACCACTCGGGGGTGTGGGTGCCGCCTGGGTGAGCAGTCACGGCCTGTGCCTGGTCAAGGGTACAGCTGGCGGGCGCTCCGTGCCTGAGCTCACCCCTGAGGAGGGTCTGGCTTTGAACGTCCCAATCCTGTCCTTGTTCCATGTCGGTCTGTTCAGGTGCATATCTCTTTCTTCCTTCTACGCTCGGGGCTGGCGGTTCCCCTCAGGGCCCAGCCATCTACCCTGGAGCATTAACTGTTACAGAGACACAGTGCAGCATGACTTACGGCGTCTTCCTACAGCTGGTGGTTGGGGCGCCGTGGGCTGACCACCCATGTTAAGTACGCACAACAGTCAGAAGGCACTGCTGGTAGACCCACGTCACTCACCCACTCAACCCTGTCTCACAAGCCGGCAGAAAGTGCCCACAGAATAACAGGTGGGGCTCACTGTTTAATAGGATCTTGTTATTCACGGGCTTTGGACGATTTTTAAGTTTTTGTTAATGTTGATTAAATGTCTGGTCTGCATAGATGTTCTCAGAACTGGGTGTCCATCCTGGCGGCCGTGTTTCCTCGGGGGATGGCGGGTGAGTGGCCCTCAAACTGTGTGCCCCCAAGCTGTGCGTCCGGCCAGCCCCTCTCCAGGTCCTTCCCCAGGAGATGCTGTGACAGCGCTGCCCTCCCGTGTATGGTAGTACTTAGGGTGTTAACGTGAAAATTGCATTACAAGCGTTTGTGAATCGAGCCCGCATTTCGAGAACTAGGCGGCTTGTGTGTCCTTTTCAGTTCTGTATATTAACCAAGTTCTGGAATCCTGATGTTCATTTTTGTATTTTTTTAAAATGGAGTGCAATGAAATACTTTTTTGAATCCTCTTTGTTCTGGATTATAAAAATATAGGAGAAAAGTGCAATGAGGAATTTAACGTAATAAATGAACATATATGTGTGTGTGTGCACACACCTATCCACGTGCATGTGTGTGTGTTTTCTCAGAGGCAGGTGACTGGCCTTGTAGGCACTCAGGCAGCCGTGCTGACTTGCCAGCCGAGAGCTATGCCCTGGAGGAGTTGTTTGGTTGTAATTGTTGGGGCCTTTCCTGGGCTCCTGGTCATGACAGCAGTCCCTGGGGACGGCTGAACAAACCTTCGAGGGGTCTGTCCTCACTGGGCTGCCTCCCTGCTGGGCTTGCCCAGGCTCGTAGCTGTGGATTCTGGACTGTACCCTTACTTTGTCATTGCAAGAGCCATGTCTGGCCTCATGTCACACAGTCCAGGCTTTCCCCAGCCTCAGGTTATTTTTCGCATGCAACAGGAAGTTGGAGGAAGGCAGTGACTCCTCGATGCCCTGGCTCCTGTCTTCCTGTGCTCTGCCGTCCTCGGTGTGTGGCTTTCATCTTGGTCACCGGGTGGCTGCCTGACCTCTAGCCTTTCACCTGTGTTCCAGGCGGGAAGGAGGAGGAAGTGGCAAGAGGACTGGTGAAAGGCAAAGAGCTTGTGCCTCCTGAGTCCCTTGCTTTTTAGTAGGAAAACAATGGCTGCCCTGTAAGCCCCACCCCCCAGTTCACATCTGCCTATGTCTCATTGGCCAGATTAGGTTACATGGCCACCCTAGCTGCAAGGGAGTCTGGGTCTCTGAGTATTTTTTTTCCTCTGAAATTTCCCGTGGCTGCTGTAACCAATGACCGTATACTTAGTAGCTTAAAACGACACAAATTAATTAACTCTTGAGTTTTAGAGGTTAGCAGTCCGAAGTGGGTCTCACTGGGCTAAAGTCAAGGTGTCAGCAGGGCTGGCTCCTGGAGACTCCAGGGAGAAATCTGTTCCCATGTCTTGTTCAGCTTCTAGAGGCCACCTCCATTCCTTGGCTCATGGCCCCATCCTCCATCTTCAAAGCGGCAATGGCTGGTTGAGTCCTACTTGTATCATACCACACTGACCAGCTGGCTTCCCTCTTTCACATATGAGGACTTCTGTGATTACACTGAGTCCTCCCTGATAATCCAGGACACTCTTTCCATCTCAAGATCCTTAACTTAATCCCACCTGCAAAGTCTCTTTAGCCATGTGAGGGAACATACAGGTTCTGGGGATTATACTGCCGACCACACTTTGCAAACGTAGTTGGAATTCTCTTGGTGACGATAAGGGGAAGGCAGCCAGCACTGAGCCCCAAACTGGGAGACCTGAGCAGTTGGGGGGCCTTAACTGTCCACTGCCCCGGACTGGGCTCCTCCTCTCGAAGGCCAGGTCAGGCCCGGCACCTGCAAGACACCCCCTCCACCGGGTGCTCAAGACTGACTTCATATTGATTGTGAGTGAGAAGTCATTGCAGCTTAATCACCATGCCCTTTAGTTCTGCCAAGGTGTCCCTAGCTGGCTAAGCTCATGCATCCTTATTAATGAGCCATGCTGGGCCACTTCATTAACGAGCAGCAGATGGTCCGGAACAGCAGACACTCGCGCACACAGCACGGGCCATGCTTGCCGGCCTTGGCTGAGCACCGTGCTTCACACCCACCACCCGCTGGCCACTGCCGTCACCATTGCTGGGGTGGCCACAGGTTGCCACCCTGCGCCAGCTCTCCTGCAGGCTCCTCTCCCAGCTCCCACCAGGTGTGTCCTGTTAGCAGGATCTGACGCTTGGCCTGGTGGTGGCTGCCAGGATGCTGGGCTCCTGCTTAGCTCCCTCGACCCGCCAGGCTCAGGGCCCTTTCCTCCCACCTCCAAGAACCGTCTCGCGCTGGGGCTCCTGACCACCCTCACCGTGCCCTCCCTGCCCATGCAGCCTGTCGCCTGGGTCACTGGATCCTTGGCTGCCTCCTGGCCCCCCTGCTGTGCATCTGCTCTCTGCACTGCCTCCATTTCTATCACCCTCACTGCATCCACAGCCCCTGAGGGCAGGGCCCAGGCTCACCCACTTCTCTGTGCCCCGACCACCCAGAAAATTGCCCAGGCTGTGTCTCTGTGTCACTCCCATGAAGACACCAGTCAGTGGGTTTCGGGCCCACCCTAATCCAGTATGACCTCATCTTGAACACCTCTGCAAAGGCCCTGTTTCCAAATAAGGTCCCCTGACAGGTTCCAGGAGTTAGGACTTCACTTTAACATATCTTTTTGGGGGACACAAATCAACCCACAACAGAGGGCAGAGGTTTCATGGGGAACAAGACTTCATCTGAGGACCAAGCCACGTTCCCCAACCTGGGCTGAAGCCTTCAGAGGGAATGTCATGGAGATTTACAGGGGATAAATTTTAATCATTAGGGTACAGGCTAGGCTGCTATAACAGACCCCCACATCTAGTGGCTCACTCAGAAAGAAGTGTTCTCTGCTGCAGCAGACCCGAGGTGAAGGGGCAGACTGCAGTGGGTAGGTGGCTTTGCTTTGCAAGGCCATCCAGAGACTCAGCTTTCTTCCATCTGGTTGCTCGAACATCCCCTGGTGTGGCGGCGGTGCCATCCACGTGGCTGAGGCAGGCTTATCATATTCACATTCCAGCCCCATGGGAAAGGGGCACAGAGGAGGTGGCCCTCCATCTGCTGATGTCCAACGGGCCAGAACTTTGTTGCATGGGAGGCTGGGAGATGTCCTCTCCAGCTGGTTGGCCATGTGGGTGGAGATGGATCTGCTTCAAGGAAGAAGTGGAGCATGGAGATTGGGAGACCATTCATCTCTACCACAGGCACGCCTGGGTAGCACAGACAGTTCAGCGCTTGGCTGCTGGGAGGCTGGTGGGTGAAACCCACCCAGTGTCTCAGAAATCTGGCTGCCTCTTGTGACCACGCCCGCCTCTCCACCAAGCTCCAGCTGACAGGGCCGCTTCTCCTTCACATGAGTCTGGTTGGATATGACTTGCTGGGTCCTGTTGGCCTGTGGTGGAGAACTGGCCTGGGACAGACGAGTGAGTGCATTCGAAGGTGATGCTTGTTTGTGTCTACATTTTAAAGGGTAAACTGAGACAAACTTGTTGTCGTTTACAACACTTGGGCCTTGCGTGTGTCCCTCCTTAAAGCCGAGATTACATGCCTGTCAGACTTGGAAGAACAGAGCTGTGCACATGTCAGAACTGTGTTTCCCTGTGAAAGCACAGAGGCCCCCCACAGGCAGGTCAGCTGGGACATTTCCCCAGCGTCACCACTGTGCTGCTTATGGCTACCACAACCTCAGCCTGTGCCCCCAACAGTTTCCAGTTGCTGGGGACAACTCTTTTCTGTGTCCACACCAAGTGGCTTTTCTTCGGTGTTCTGTAGAGCCAGGGGATCAGGTTCTAACTCATTCGTTCAGATGACAGCACCCTGGGTTTGCCACCCAGACCAGAGGTCACCAAGGCAGGTGAATCCTTGCCCTGTGGTGTGTAGTTTGGGTCAAGAGATGGTCAACAAGGACACAAGAGAATGTATGACAGGAAAGTGTTTTTTTGCAGGGTATAAGACAGCAATGCTGTTTAGATGGAGTTACGTAAAATAGAGGGTCAGTGAAAACGAGAGAAACCCTCAGAGAGATGGAGTGACACATTAGCCTCAACAAAGGACACAAACACCAATGATCATAAAGATGGTGCGGAACAGGCAACGTTCTGTTTATACCTAAGGTCGCCGTGAGTCAGAGTGGACTCGGCGGCAGCTAACAACAATGGGTTGAACAGTCCCCAGAGGGATATGCTGAGGTGGTAACCCCGTAACCTGTGAATCTGACCTTATTTGGAAATGGAGTTAGTTAACATAAGGCATACTCGAATGGAAAGGGCCCTAATCCAGTACAACTGGTGTCCTTATAAGAAAAGGCACAGAAACACACAC